ATTATATTTGTGTATATATATTAGGGTGATTCATTTCCGCAAAAAACTTTTTTTTTCTCGGCGCTCAAGCAAAATATTAATCTACCTATAGAAAAAAAAATTTTCACCAAGGTAGAGCTCTTAATATCAATTTTAAGTACTTGCAGTTTAAATATAAAGTTTTCCCATTTAAAATGCATGTAAAAAAATGTTTTTTTTTCAAATTTCTAATGCTTGCCCGCTCTTTACAATATTGTGAATCGGTTTTAAGGACCTTATAGGGAATTTCCAGAGATATATATGATATCTCTGGGAATTTCACGCGGAATTTCAGCGCGCTCTTCAAAATTGTCTTTGTGTTTTTTTGTGTAACTCGTAGTGGTTCGCCAGTAGGAGTCATCAAAGTTCAATTTTTTGAATGAACATTTTTTTTTGCATTTTTTTTTAACAATTCGCAAAAAATAGTGAAAAAAAAGAGCTAAATCGTAAAAAATAGTCTTTTAACAAATATTTGATGTATTTACGGCCATTTTTATATCTTAAAACGTAAGTAATTGATAAATATTAACCAATTATGCTATTTAAATTAAACTTTCTTATTTACTATCGATATAATTCTCTACAACAATAACTTTTCCAGAGTTATTATGATTTTTGACTTATAATAAATATAAAAAAACACATTAATTTATAAAAAAACAACAAATATACAATTGCAACTTAGATTCTGCAATTTTTTAACATTTCCGTAATATAGCAATAAATATAAATGAAGGTTATTCAATTTTTTTAACATAATTCTTAAATTAACGAAAAAGTAAATTGTTTTTATTGTCAACTTCATTTGCTTCAATATTGTATAAGTAGAAATTGCTATTTGAATAATTGCACTAAATAATATTTTGATGGCATATTCGAACATAAGTAAAAAAATAATGATAATTATTTGATTGGGAAAACAACTGTTACAATTTTATGATTGCTCTAGTTAATTAGTATGACGTTAGCGACTCTATTGTCTTTGTAAACGGGTTTGATGCTTTATGTTATACTTAACCCCAAAATGTATTGTTTGTTGTATGTAGTGATTAGTCCGAGAACAAAGTACGAAGTGACTAGGTGCACGTTAGAGTGCCTGCAATTTATTTTTTTCGGGCACGCTAGTGACGTAATAGATAAAAAACGTCATCACTGCCGTGCCGCTTAATTTAAAATTGGCGGCACAACAATAATATAATAATAAATTGTACCTGTATACATGTTAAGGGCACGTTAGTTACGTCATAAAATAAAATCTTAATTTGCTTTGTATAAAAGTCGAAATAATTTAATATTTATCAACTTGTTTATTTATGACTATTGAGATTTTTATTAAATTTGCAATATATTATCTAATAATGTAATCTGTTATTTGTTTTGATTAAAGTTTTGTTTTTTTTTATGAATTGATGTGTTATGTTTTTATTTATTTTTAGTCAGAAATCATAATAACTCTGAAAAAGTTATTGTTGTAGAAAATTACTGCCCGTTCAGAGAAAAACCGAATATATCTATATATATATGGGGCGTGGCCTCGCCTCCCTCCAACGCGCGACACAATAGCTAAGCAAAAAGCCAGCATCGCTAATGAGATTTTTTGCATTATTATCATTTAATTTTTTAAGTCCTTACTTGCTCGACCTTTCGTCATGTCGTTTATCACACAAGCTACTGTGACGCGCCTTGGAGGGAGGCGAGGCCACGCCCCATATATATATAGATATATTCGGTTTTATTCTGAACTGGCTGTATATCGATAGTAAATAAGAAAGTTTAATTTAAATAGCATAATTGGTGAATATTACTTACGTTTTAAGATATAAAAATGGCCGTAAATTCATCAAATATTTGTTAAAAGACTATTTTTTAAGATTCAGCTCTTTTTTTTTCACTATTTTTTGCGAATTGTTAAAAAAAATGCAAAAAAAAATGTTCATTCAAAAAATTGAACTTTGATGACTCCTACTGGCGAACCACTACGAGTTACACAAAAAAACACAAAGACAATTTTGAAGAGCGTGAAATTCCCTATAAGGTCCATAAAACCCATTCACAATATTGTAAAAAGCGGGCGAGCATTAGAAATTTGAAAAAAAAACCATTTTTTACATGCATTTTAAATGGGAAAACTTTAAATTTAAACTGCAAGTACTTAAAATTGATATTAGGGGTCGGAAAAAATTTAACAGAGGCGACCCCCAAATCGGTTCCAAATCATAAAAAAAAAATCCTGCAAAATTTTAGGTCAATCGGTCAAAGGGAACACGTGCCCCACAGGGGTTTTTTAATAAATAATTGAGAAAATTCGGAAGGCTGATATAACTCCGAAACGGTCCATCGTAGGAAAAAAAAGTGTATATAAATTTTATGTGTTTTTTTAGATAAACAACTTTCGTAATAACAGTCCTGCGTTAAAAAAATTTATTCGGGGTCAAAACGCGATAAAACGCTTTTTTGTGTACTTTAGCGCTACCTACTTTTTGAATTTTCTGTCCTAGAGCATCGACCCAATGACATAAATTGTAGGGGACAATGCACCCTACATTTTTTGTTGACAAAATTTTTTTCTTAAACTAACCGATTTTGAAAAAAAATTAAATCCAAAATTTTTGAGTTTTCACCAAAAACACGTTGTGCTCCGAAACTCCGAAATGGTTTATCGTAGGAAAAAAAAGTTAAAATATATTTTGTAGTTTTTTTCAAGCTAATCAACTTTCCTAATGCCTTTGTCACAATAGTGATAATGTTAATGGTAATGTTAATAAAGCCTAGACAAATGCGTATATCAACGTAACCATCAACATTACCATCATTGTGAACGGATACACGCATATTTCTATGCTTTGGGTATTAACATTAACATTACTATTAACATTAAACTATTGTGAGGTATAATAATAGTGCTGCTTTAAAAAAATCGAGTTCAAAAAGCGATACAACGCTTTTTTTGGTTTTTTGGCCCTACCTACTTCTGAATTTTTTTGTTCTAGAGCATCGACTCAATAACATAAATTGTAGGGACTACATTTTTTGATTAAAAATTTTTTTCTAAATCTTATCTTGCTACGTGTTAGTTTTGAAAATTTTTACTCATAATTGGTGGAGATTTTGAAGGGATAGCGGGTGTTTTTCTCCTCAACTTCAACGCCCCTGAAAAAAGTACGGTTTTGAGAGGCCAATGTTTTCTACACAAAAAAGGTACTCTTGGTCATAAGCTCTAAAGTTGACCGTTTTCGATAAAAATCAACTTTTATATTTAAAAACATGTTCAATTTTTTGAAAAAAAAAATTACCTATTACTAATTAAACAAAATTTATTTTAACGTTAGAAAAAGTAACAAAACCAAACGATAATTGCAAAATTAAAAAAAAAATAAAAAATGATTTTTTACACAAATGCTGAAATGTTCGAAATGCGTTACCTTTACGGTTTGGAGAATTTGGCAAAGACAACTTTTGAATCATTTTTTATTTTGCAATTATGGTTTGGTTTTGTTACTTGTTCTAACGTTAAAATAAATTTTGTTTAATTAGTAAAAAAAATTTATTTTTTTTTAAATTGACCATGTTTTTAAACATAAAAGTTGATTTTTCTCTAAAACGGTCAACTTTAGAGCTTACGACCAAGAGTACCTTTTTTGTGTAGAAAACATTGGCGGTTCGAATAGGCCTCTCAAAACCGTACATTTTTCAGGGGCGTAGAAGTTGAGGAGAAAAACACCCGCTACCCCTTCAAAATCTCCACTAATTATAAGTAAAAAAAAAATTTTTTCTGGCACAAAACATAGCTTATTTTGAGTAGAAAATGCTTACAAAAGCTGTTTTTTGTACGATAAACGGTTCCGGAGATATTCGAGAAAAACGAATTTTTTTCTAAAATTTCAACACCCTGTATCTCGAAAATTGTGCATTTTAGAGGGTAAGTTAATAGCGACTTTTTTCATCTTTTTGGATGAGCTATCACATCCTGAAGTCCTGCGCATATATTATGAAACACCCTGTATATATAAAAAGGTGTTAGTGTTATTATTGATCGCTGATATCTTTGAAACGGTTGATCTGAAGAACTTTGACCTTCAGATGTTTTTTGTAGAGCGTGAAATTGTCTATAACTCCTCTCGCTTGGGTGTTGCGAAAACAAACCATTCCAAAGTTAAAAGAATTCAAAATTAAAAAAATAAAAATTTCCGTGTTATTGAAATGGTAAAACAACAAATGAATTGAGGCAAACCTTAATATTAATATTAAGGGCTTAAATAGGCGCCAAATTTTTTGTTTTTTAATGTACTATTAATTTTTTAACACCATTAGAAAAAAAACAATAATTGTTTTTTTTTAAACACAAGTATAGTCTTATAATAATAATATTTTGTCAAAACTTTGTTAATATCCTGATTGGTTAACGCTATTTAAAAGTTCATAAAATCTATAAATATACACTCTTTGTCTGTCACTAAAGCTATCCGTTTCTAAAAGGCATAAATGATGCATTATCGGATTAGACAGCAAATTATTTAATAAAAATTAAAATAAAACATTTTGCAGGATGTAACCATTATCTTACAATGCACCATCACACCTTATTTTAATTTATCAAAATATCAGAAATAAAACTGCACTAAAATTTTATTTTAAATTCAAAATAATAGCGCAAATTGGTTCTCTTTTAAGAAATATTATTTATATAATCTCATTATTCCATGTTAGGATTATATTACATTACATTTAATAAAATATTATTCAAATAAATATGCCGTAAACGTAATAAGTTGAAAAGTTTTATGGTTATACTCGTCAGCATCTGGACATCACCAGGGCCAAAGATGCGATGCATCACGATGGTCACCTCGAATTCAAGGAAAGAAGAATGTACCCAGTGTCTGGTAAGGGCCAAAACTCAACCCACTGGATAAGATATGCTGGTCAGAGGGTATAAATAGAGGTCTGTTTTGTACTGCTCGCATTAGACTGTGCCTGTTAGTGCGAAGGCGGTACAAGCTTGAAGAGCTTCGTAAGTTTTGTTTTTTTTTAACTCGCGGCGCGTCTTCTCGTTGCCGGTCCATCATACAGCATCGTTAAATTTTAGTTGAACGTGTTCTGTGTATGTATGATTTTAGTGGTGTATACCTTTGTGGAATAGAAGGATAATAACACGATGGAATTTATAAACAAATTAAATATGTATGTATAAATCAAATTATATTTTTTTTAAATTTAAAACAAACAAATATATTATATTTTTATATTTCAAAATAAAATAGAAGTTAAACATTTTTTTAAATATAAATTAATAAATATTCAAATAAAAAAAACATAATTACAATTACTATTCTTATATTAATTTTATTATTTAAATTATTTTAAAACGCACCAATAATGAATGCAGTTTGTAAATTTCTTTATAAAGAAATTTATAAACTGCAAAAACCTATACATAGTTTTATATATAGGTTTTTGCTTGTATGTAATCTGATACTTAAGAAATGCTCGTCTAGACTATTGCAAAAACAATAGAGCCCATAACCAAGTTTGTGAGCCATAAAATCCCAATAAAAACTTAATTTAATTATTTAAAAAAATATTATCTTGCATTAATGCATTTTGGGTATGTTCTCAGTTTAAACATATATTTGTGTTTAACCTATACAGTAAATTGCTGTCAGTAATAAGTATAAAATTAAAAATGTTGTAAGCAATTATTTTATCAATAAGAAAAGTTAAATAATGTATCTTCAGAATTCGAAATAAATAAAAGGATGGTAAATTGTACAATATTACAAACTTTTTAATTTTAATGTTAGACTCATTACAAAAATCTATAAATTTTGATATATCATCAATGTTAATTTGCCTGCATTAAAAAGTACCTTATTATAGCTATATCTGAAATAAATTTACTTCGCCACCTAAACTAAAAGGAAATTTTACCCCAACAATTTTTGTAAATATTTTTAATAACGTATCTATAGATACTTATAGGTATATGTATGTCTCATTAGTTATGTCACAAAAATTAAAATTAACTAAAAATTGTAATTCTAATTTAATTAAATATCGTATGAACCTTTAACTTAAAATTAAAAATATAATTTAATTAAAATTAATTATTTAACGTAGTAATTAACAGTTTTATAAAGTTTTAAATTCATGCATTTAAATTAAATAAACTGGCCTTCAACAAATCGCTATTTTTTGCAGGTTCAGGTTCTGGACGATATTTAAACCGATTTTTCGAATTTTTCTGAATATTGTGTAGTGCAGCGCGTGAAAACTCTGTGTTTTTCCATTTTTTGTAAATTTATACATAAACTAACTACCACGTTATTTTTTTTTATTATAAACATTTTTCGTGGCCAAAAGATTTGCTCTTTTAACTAAAAAATATTTAAGCAGGAACATAGAGAAAACTGATTTTTTAAAATTTAGTAGTAACTGTTGCAATAAATTTAGAATTGATTACAGAGTTTTGAAAACATTACTTAACTTAAAAGTGGTTAATCCTAATAGTATATTATGTATCAAGTTTTATAAACGCCATTTTAGTTACGAGTTTTATTAAGCACGAGCGAAGCTTGCAAGCGAGTGTTTAATAAAAACGAGTGTCTAGATAAGTTTAGAAAACGAGTTGCATACTATACTTTATCTATGACGACTAAAAAGAAGAATTTAAATCCACACTGTTAAAACGATTTAGTGAATTAACGTAAAATTACGGTCTAATTATGTTTCAATCGTAATATCACGGAAATATACTACACCAATTGTATTTTTACATAAACTTGCCGAAAAATTACACGGAAAATCGTAAAATTACACATGAGAATTACGTTAAAATCTTGGAATTTTTGCAGAATATAATCTGGATTATCACGTTAGTACATAGGTAAATGTAACTAAACCTTAAAGTAAAATTACGAACGTTAGTCGGAAAACTAAAATTTTCATTATGTATTTTTACTGTATTATTTAAGTATAATCAATAAACATTTCGGGTAAATAAACCTTATGTATTTTTACTAGTTATTTATTGTAATAATAATATAGTTTTTTTATGTAATTTAATGTAAAATTACAAATAACTTTATGTATTTTTTAGTCAATATTCACTGATTTTTTTTCAATTTATCACATTCACTGCCCACCCCAAAAAAGAGTATTGCTTCAGGTACCACCTAAGTTTTTCTTCATATTTTTTAATTTAAATAAGTGCATCTTGTTTCAAATAAATTCTAGTATAGGTTTTCAATTTTATTAAAAAAAAAACAAAAAACCCACGCTATCTATAGACCACAGAACATAGACTTTAGTCTAAGGTATAACACCTCACAAAACAACTTACTACACTGAACAATACTAAACACAATAGTTACGCTATTCGCGGTTATAAAAAATGCAAGATTTAAAAGTATTTAAAACAAACTACTGATTTTAAACTTTTATAATACAAAACATAACCTAGCAAAGCGATAAAGCGAATAAATGTTGGCGCGGCGTCACCAGATCAGGGACGAACAGCGAAGCGAACTCGGAGGGACACGCGGGGATGTAAAGTTACTGTTGCGTGTGGTAAATTTATAAGATTTAACGGAAAAGTACATTAATTTAAAAGGGATTTTCCGAAATGTCGTCAATTTTACATATAAGATAGTGATTTTACATTTTTTACTGTAATTTTACATTTTTTAATGTAATTATTCACTATATAACAAAATGTTTACGTTATTGTTCACTAAAAATACTCTAATTATGTAAAATACCATTAAATATAAATGTACGTCAGTTCATAAGGTAATTTTCCTTTAAAAATATTGTATTTTTTTCGTGTATAGTAATGTAATTTTAACCCTATTTTTAACAGTGCAATTTTATTTGTTAAACATTTGACATCTGTCAAATGTCAACGGAATTAACCTCACTTTTCTCTACTTTATAATAAAGCTAACTTCAGCCCGTGACTAAAACGCCATAAAGTCACAGCTCGTCAATTTAGGAGTAGATACAATATATTATACCCAAGAAGTCCACAAATTACTTGATTGCTTATTAGGTACATATATATATATATATATATATATATAGGTACTACATAAATTTTTAAAATCAATGTTTTCTGTGTTTTTAACTTTTTTTGTTGTAATACTATAGTATCTATTTCCATAAATACTACAGTACCTATATGTATTTTATTAGTATAATAATAAAATACATTACTTATTTATTTTCTGCCCCTGTTAATAAATTGTTAATATTAACATAATTATTTTTTTTAGAAATGATTACTACCTAAATATCAAGTAAATTTGGGGATATATCCCTATATATACCTAGGTACCTATACAGTTATAGCTTGGCTATTTTAGGAGCATAGGCGTGCGAAGGCTTTTTCATAAGGGGGGAGCATTGATTCAATGAAATATATTATAGACATGGCAGGCAATAACAGTTCTTTTTCTATAACGCAGCCCGCAGCAGGCTCACTGCCGAAGGAAAATTTTTTTTTGGTGCCACGCCCACTTTTTTTACCAAAAGTCTTTACGATCGTTAAAAAACAAGGCAACGCGTGATTTTTCAAATGACAATATCAAATCGATAACAATCATTATAATGCTTATAATCATAATAAGGCTCAAAACCATCGATGGTTATTGACAGTTGTCCCATTAGGCATACATGCCTAATATTATATATTAATTAATTAAATTTAAAAAAATATTAGTAAAACCATTTCAATTAACAATGTAGCTTTATTACCGTTTTCAACATCTGACATTGATAATTTTATTAATAAATGGCGGCACCATATAAAATATTACGGGTTTCTCGATAAAACTAATAATAAACCATAAAGTGAAAAACTATTTTTTTTTCTTCAAAGAATTAGGGTGGGCCACGGCCCCCCCGTGCGCACGCCTACGTTTAGGAGTATAGGATTTGGGGTTTATGCATAGAATAGAATTGTATATTGTACCCAAAAATATTATACCTACCTAATAAGTATTAAAATACAATTTTAGATACCTATATTAAACCGCTTAACTCTTTCTATCCATAAATATATAGGTATATATATACCTATATATATATATATCTATAGATATAAAGAGTTAAGCGGTTATAAATCTAGTATTATATATAACATAAAAGACGTTGGTACCCAGAAAAACACAATCCTAAAGAAATAGTGGTTTATTTGGTATTTAATTAAGGGTTTAAAACCCCTACCCCCCTCCCGGGTGAGTCATTCACTGGCGGCCAGTTCACCGCATCAATATTTTATAAGCTGTAGCCCGGAGACCCTAATGGGCAGTTAGGCAAGGAACCGACCGTATTTAAGTATACCTAAGTCAAGTAAGGTTAATAGATATTTATTAAGGTTTTTTTTCTAACTTAACAAGCAAATATATGGTAATAACTTGCCATTTTATGCAGTTAAATCTTTTATATATATATATATATATATATATATATATATATACTTGCCTATAGGTATAAGATTTTATTTTTGTATTGTAAATTATACCTAAAACATTTTTAACGAAGGAAGGTAAAAAATATAAAAAACACAAATACTTATTTTCCGTTTTATTTTATAGTTAGTATACTAATTATTATAATTAGTTAACAACAAAATTCAACAAAATTAAGTTATTTCTTATTGGCTCCCATTGTCCACTGCTACCTATAGTTATAAGTCACTATAGTGACTTATAAAGGCCGACAAAGAATATTTTTTGGAGCCAAGTAGGTTTGGTTGCTTCTTAGTGACAACCAAGAGACACGCAGACCGATTAAAGAATTTAAAACTAAAGAAGAACAATATACCAAAGACAATAAAATAAATCGCACATTGCATTTAGTTTCAAATTATTTGGCGTTTTTTTGTAAAAAATGTAAATATTATTAATCTGTTATTATATATATATATATATATATATATATATATATATATATATATATATATATAGGTAATAATTAGTATTTTTAAATTATTCACTATTAAAATATATTATAATAAAAATATTAAGGTGCTTTCTAGTAGGTATATTTTACGTCTACGTCTCTAAAAAAGACCAATCTCGAGGACTCTCTGGCATCGCACGACGAAGAATGTTAATGGGTTTTAAAGTAATGTCAGAATAAATTTGTAGCTACCATAAAGTTCTGTGTATCAGTTTCAAAAA